TTCCTGTCTGGACACTTTCACCCCCTTCCAGTCCGGACACTTTCCCCCCCTTCCAGTCCGGACACTTTCCCCCCCTTCCAGTCCGGACACTTTCCCCCCCTTCCAGTCCGGACACTTTCCCCCCCTTCCACGTCCGGACACTTTCCCCCCCCTTCCTGTTCTGGACACTTTCCCCCCCTTCCAGTCCCTTTGGATTTTGTCACACGAACTGTCATGATCGTCTCTCGAAAGCTGTGTACTAACGATCCGATTATTATTATTATTATTATCGGTCCTCATACGAAAATGTTTGTATGATCTTCTTATAGTGTGGACGGGGCAGGCAGCGCGGGCGGGGCAGGCAGCGCGGGCGGGGGCAGGAAGCGCGGGCGGGGCAGGCAGCGCGGACGGGGCAGGCAGCGCGGACGGGGCAGGCAGCGTGGGCGGGGCAGGCAGCGTGGACGAAGGCATCAGAGTACAGGAGAGGATGGGATGTAGCAGAGATTTGTATTCGATCACACGGTCACAGGGACAGCTATTTTTCCAAACAGTTGGGGGGTTTTTCGGTTGAGGTGCAGATGAAGCGAATACTAACGTGGCACATTTACTATGATAGGAGCTATAAATGTCACACTCACCACAAACATGAAGACTGTGTAGAAGATGAGAGCCATCGCACTGAAGGACTGGATGGAGGCCATCATGTTACGTTGGAGGCTCAGTGGGAGAACGATGCACAGAGAGATGGCGAAGAGGAGGAAGATACGGAAACCCTCGGTCACCTACACCATAGAAACAGAAAATACAATCATGGCAAAAAGAAGGAAGCAGACGTGACAAAACACCAACACCTCTAATAGGGTGAGCCACTCCTGACAGGAAATACAATATATATAGGTAGGCGCTACATTTCCCCAACAATAAACTTCATCCGGTTGCAACGAGGACAAGACTGGTACCATCTGAGGGTGATCTCCATTGTGGTCCATGTAAAAAATGTTTAGCCTACAGCACCTGATATTCCCAGGCGGTCTCCCATCCAGGTACTAACCAGCCCAACCCTGCTTAGCTTCCGAGATCAGACGAGATCGGGCGCATTCAGGGTGCATTCAGGAATAGCGCCGTAGGCGCTATTCCTCCCACCGACCCCGACGACGGGGGCGCCGTTCCTCCCACTTGACCCCGACGACGGGGCGCCGTTCCTCCCACTTGACCCCGACGACGGGGCGCCGTTCCTCCCACTTGACCCCGACGACGGTGGGCGCCGTTCCTCCCACTTGACCCCGACGACGGGGCGCCGTTCCTCCCACTTGACCCCGACGACGGGGCGCCGTTCCTCCCACTTGACCCCAACGACGGGGCGCCGTTCCTCCCACTTGACCCCAACGACGGGGCGCCGTTCCTCCCACTTGACCCCAACGACGGGGCGCCGTTCCTCCCAGTTGACCCCAACGACGGGGCACCGTTCCTCCCAGTTGACCCCAACGACGGGGCACCGTTCCTCCCAGTTGACCCCAACGACGGGGCACCGTTCCTCCCAGTTGACCCCAACGACGGGGCACCGTTCCTCCCAGTTGACCCCAACGACGGGGGCACCGTTCCTCCCAGTTGACCCCAACGACGGGGCACCATTCCTCCCACTGACCCCAACGATGCGGCACTGTTCCTCCCACTGACCCCAACGATGGGGCATTGTCACCAAAAATGGAGAACTATTTATCCACTAACTCCAAGCCTAGGATATTGTTTACTCCCACTGGCCACAATCAGGCCTCCCTTAAGTTTGAAGGGCAGTAAACTGGCCCCTTTTGTTTCAAGAGTTTGGAGACCCCTGTGATAGACCAACACAAAGTGGCACATAATTGGAAGGAACACAGGTGGACTCTATTTACTAATTAGGGGACTTCTGAAGGCAACTGGTTCCACTAGATTTTAGTTACGGGTATCAAAGTAAAGGGGGCCGAATACAAATGCCGCCACACTTTTCACAGATTTATTGGTCACAAATGTTGGGAACCATTTCTCATTTTCCTTCCACTTCACAATTATGAGCCACTTTGTGTCGGTCCATCACATCCAATCCCGATAAATACATTGATGGTTCTGGTTGTCACGTGACAACAGGGGGAACATTTCAAAGGGGAGGAAGACTTTTTTCAAGGCACTGTATCTCCAATCATTCTACATTCATCTATCCAACCCGAGTGCCACACCTCACACATGAAGGGAACCCACAATCACATCTCGCAGCTTGGCGTCTGAGGGCACCCCTGGCCTACTTGCTCTCACTGTCGTTTGGCATTACATGAGCACAGGGGGGGGGCCGAATGAGCAGAAAGTTCAGGAGGGGAAAAGTCCGACCGCACAGCCAGGAACATGTGCTTCTAGTTAACAGAAGAATCTCAGAGGTTCCATCCAGAACTATACTAGTCGTGTCCACCCCGGGATACTCCCACAACTCTATTAGCTGGTTTATGTAATTGTCCTTCTTGTGAAATTTACAAAAAGGGGATTCATTAGGAAGGTGCTGCATAGATCGGGGCCTTTCACACTGGCGGGACGGGTATAGTCACAGCTATCTTGGCTGCACTCCTATGGATCACAGGAGAGCATATCGTTCTGCACTCCCATGACCTGTGTGCGGCCTACAGCGGGCTAATGCCTGCTGTTAGCTGATGTCATTCAGGCTCTGAAAAGATCCCGACTTTAAAATCGGGATCCACCCAGATGTCTGGACCGGCACCTGGCTCAGCCTGAAAGAGATCTGCCAGGAGCCTGAGCCAGCCGCTCCAACCCCCTCCACAGCCCGGCACTCCAGTGAGCGCTGGAGGGGAAGAGCAGAGGGTTGGACACTGACAGCTCCGGCTCTCTGCTCAGAGCGGAGGGGGAGAACTGAGCGATCGGCAGTCTTTGATCGCTCAGTTCTCACTGCAGAGCCAGTGAGGGACAGATGCTGCATTCACCTAGGTATATATATATATATATATATTTTGTTTTTCCCATACTTCTCTTTTAAGCTGTGTGTTCACTGCCTCCCCCACACCCTTAGGTTGCAAAACCAGCTAGACAGGTGTATTCATTCTGCAGACACAGCGCTTCGCTGCAAGAATTATTCTCCCACTGTATTCCGCAGGCATCCCCACCACCTGACCCATTCAAGCAAATGGGGCTTCACCGCAGCCGCGTCTATTCCACACAGGCCGCGCGTCTATTGCACACAGGCCGCGCGTCTATTGCACACAGGCCGCGCGTCTATTGCACACAGGCCGCGCGTCTATTGCACACAGGCCGCGCGTCTATTGCACACAGGCCGCGCGTCTATTGCACACAGGCCGCGCGTCTATTGCACACAGGCCCGCGCGTCTATTGCACACAGGCCGCGCGTCTATTGCACACAGGCCGCGTCTATTGCACACAGGCCGCGTCTATTGCACACAGGCCGCGTCTATTGCACACAGGCCGCGTCTATTGCACACAGGCCGCGTCTATTACACACAGACCGCGTCTATTGCACACAGACCGCGTCTATTACACACAGACCGCGTCTATTGCACACAGGCCGCGTCTATTGCAATGATGCAGCATTTACAGGGTGAAAAAAAAAAACAGTGAATTGGTGAGAAATCCTTACAGCCAAACACCACTGTGTATCGCTTTTCAGAGAGGCGGGCCGGCGCCTAGCATTAAAGGATAAGTTCACTTTTCATAACATGTTACACGCACATTCAGGGTGTAACATGTAACATGTTACGATCAGACCGGCCACTGCTTCCCCCGATCCCTGCTTTGACAGCTAGTGGGGGATCTTCCCCCACCCTAGCTAGCTGTTGAAGTTAAAAAAAAAAACAAAACAAAACACAACAACACACACAGCAGGGCGGGGATCCGCCCACCAGGCCGCGTCACTTATTCATGGCCCTCTGTGAATGAGAGACTACAAGTCCCAGCAGCCTTAGTGGCTGTCGGCTTGTAGTTCTCAGTGGACAGCGCTGTGGAGCGTGATGGCAGTTCATTCATTCTTCCTGTCAGTATATCTGCTTGTCCGTACATCCATACACCCCGTACAGGCAAGCAGGTTTACCGACAGATCTGCAGGAGCCCTGCATGGCACCAGCGATCTCTTGATGTTTTCCAGGCTCCTGCAGACAAAAATAATGAATTCAAATTTTTAAACCTACAAATAATCTTTTACTAAAAAGGCGAACGTATCCCTTCAGGAATAAGACCCTCTTCTCTCCCTTTATCTTTCTGAATGACGTTCCTTTTTTAACAAATTTACCTGAAGGCCAAGTAAGCGGGCAAAGAAGGAGGATCCCAGGTCTCCGATGACAACATAGAAGGCGATGCAAGTCCCCAGCATCAGTCCAATCATACTGTGAGAAGTAGAGACAATGTCAGATCGCAGCACACATGTATGAGCAATGCAAAGAAATAAAACCATACAATACTGGCAGACGAGAAAAGAAAAAGCCTCCCCCAGTATAAAGAGAACCTGTACTCATTAACCACTTCCACGCTGCCCTACAGGAGAAATACTGCTACAGGGCGGCACAGGTGCGCAGAATCACGTGTGTGTGTGTACACATATACATACACACACATATACATACATATATGATTTTGCAGTTCCGGGTAGGGGGCGCGCACCCTATCCACGCTGCCATTCGCGGCTTTGGCTGTCAATCATCGGGTCTCAGCCAGTGATTTGTCGCCGGCACCCGGTGATCACCGGGTATCTCCAACGAGGGAGAGACCTGAGCAGGGGCAGACTGACAACTCATGGGGCCCCCGGGCAATAGGGGATCATGGGGCCCCTGTGTCCTTGCCCAAACTCAAAAAAATGCCTATGAAAAAGGTACCAGGGGCATCTCATGGGGCCCCCTACTGACCCCGGGCCCTCGGACAGTTTCCAAATGGTCAGTCCGCCCCTGGACCTGAGTATAAACAAACATAGATCTCTCCCGTCAGTTCCTGCACACTGCTTTGTATGGCTCTGCATAGCAGCATGCGCACAGTGAAACACTCCCAACACACAGTTAACCCTTTGATCGCCCCTCATGTTAACACCGTCCTGCCCAGTGTCATTAGTACAGTGTCAGTGCTATTTATTAGCATTGATGACTGTATTGGTGTCACTGGGGATATCAGTGACACCAAGTCAGTTCCCCCCAGTGTCAGAATGTCCGCCGCAGCCCGGCTATAAGTCGCTGATCGCCGCCATTACTGGTAAAAAAAAAAAAAAAAAATCCCTGTATCTCTCCCGCCATTTGTAGACGCGACAACTTTCATGTAAACAATTAATTTACACTTATTGGGATTTTGTTCAGCAAAGACACGGAGCGGGACGTCACAGCAAAGACACGGAGCGGGAGGTCACAGCAAAGACACGCAGCGGGAGGTCACAGCAAAGACACGCAGCGGGAGGTCACAGCAAAGACACGCAGCGGGAGGTCACAGCAAAGACACGCAGCGGGAGGTCACAGCAAAGACACGCAGCGGGAGGTCACAGCAAAGACACGCAGCGGGAGGTCACAGCAAAGACACGCAGCGGGAGGTCACAGCAAAGACACGCAGCGGGAGGTCACAGCAAAGACACGCAGCGGGAGGTCACAGCAAAGACACGCAGCGGGAGGTCACAGCAAAGACACGCAGCGGGAGGTCACAGCAAAGACACGCAGCGGGAGGTCACAGCAAAGACACGGAGCGGGAGGTCACAGCAAAGACACGGAGCGGGAGGTCACAGCAAAGACACGCAGCGGGAGGTCACAGCAAAGACACGCAGCGGGAGGTCACAGCAAAGACACGCAGCGGGAGGTCACAGCAAAGACACGCAGCGGGAGGTCACAGCAAAGACACGCAGCGGGAGGTCACAGCAAAGACACGGAGCGGGATGTCACAGCAAAGACACGGAGCGGGAGGTCACAGCAAAGACACGCAGCGGGACGTCACAGCAAAGACACGCAGCGGGAGGTCACAGCAAAGACACGCAGCGGGAGGTCACAGCAAAGACACGCAGCGGGACGTCACAGCAAAGACACGCAGCGGGAGGTCACAGCAAAGACACGCAGCGGGACGTCACAGCAAAGACACGCAGCGGGACGTCACAGCAAAGACACGCAGCGGGACGTCACAGCAAAGACACGCAGCGGGACGTCACAGCAAAGACACGCAGCGGGACGTCACAGCAAAGACACGCAGCGGGACGTCACAGCAAAGACACGCAGCGGGACGTCACAGCAAAGACACGGAGCGGGACGTCACAGCAAAGACACGGAGCGGGACGTCACAGCAAAGACACGGAGCGGGACGTCACAGCAAAGACACGGAGCGGGACGTCACAGCAAAGACACGGAGCGGGACGTCACAGCAAAGACACGGAGCGGGACGTCACAGCAAAGACACGGAGCGGGACGTCACAGCAAAGACACGGAGCGGGACGTCACAGCAAAGACACGGAGCGGGACGTCACAGCAAAGACACGCAGCGGGACGTCACAGCAAAGACACGCAGCGGGACGTCACAGCAAAGACACGCAGCGGGACGTCACAGCAAAGACACGCAGCGGGACGTCACAGCAAAGACACGCAGCGGGACGTCACAGCAAAGACACGCAGCGGGACGTCACAGCAAAGACACGCAGCGGGACGTCACAGCAAAGACACGCAGCGGGACGTCACAGCAAAGACACGCAGCGGGACGTCACAGCAAAGACACGCAGCGGGACGTCACAGCAAAGACACGCAGCGGGACGTCACAGCAAAGACACGGAGCGGGACGTCACAGCAAAGACACGGAGCGGGATGTCACAGCAAAGACACGGAGCGGGATGTCACAGCAAAGACACGGAGCGGGATGTCACAGCAAAGACACGGAGCGGGATTGTCACAGCAAAGACACGGAGCGGGATTGTCACAGCAAAGACACGGAGCGGGATTGTCACAGCAAAGACACGGAGCGGGATGTCACAGCAAAGACACGGAGCGGGAGGTCACAGCAAAGACACGCAGCGGGAGACATTTTGGCCGAAATTTATAACGAAATTTTTTTTTACTGGACATGTTTTATAGCAAAAAGTCAAACAATATTGTTTCAGACAGCCAATCAAAAGCAGCAAAGGCATTCCCTGCCCAATAGCTGCACATATATAGGGGGTGTGGCTGAAGGTTGGGGAACGCATCTCCTGCTCCTGATTGGCTGTCTGCAGTGACATCATCCTGGGGGGATCTCTCACGCAGTATCGGACGCATCCTGCGTTCATCCTTACTCGCGGTTTCCGTCACAACCAATCCCAGGGCTCACCTCGTCTCCACCAGCATTTTCCCAGCTTTTCCATAGGCGTGGAAGGCTACGAGAAACAAAGAGGGAGAAACAGTAAATATATATTTTTTGCATCAAGAAGGTAAAACACACCAAAAGATCAGAAAAATAAGTGTGAAGAGGTGCGTGGGACATGCGTGTGATTGCCGTGTCACATCCCCGCCCGTCATCTGCACTCAGGACTATCATTGTGCCGTGATAGAGCGGCTCCCCAGCAGATGTGGGCTTTCAGATTACAGCCGTGTCACCTACTCCACGCCAGACCGCCGCGCTAATCATCGGGTGCCGTGTATAGATCAAAGCTGCCGAATGGCGGCCTTCCCTCTGTTCTGACACTGTGGCACCGACGGAAGCTTCCAGCCATACACTCGGCGTATGGGAGGGCGGAAATCAATACACGGGGAGATCCAACACCAGCCAGCCTGAAATACACAGAACGCTGCTGAATGGATGGATTTCCAGCAATTATGTATCTCAGATCCAATCACATCCACCGGAGGAGCTTACAATCCAATGCAGCCTCAGCCAGGGTTCCTCCAGAGGGTGCTGAGGGCTCCCCCAGAGGGTGCTCGGGGCTCCTCCAGAGGGTGCTCAGGGTTCCTCCAGAGGGTTCTGAGGGCTCCCAGGGCTCCTCCAGAGGGTGCTGAGGGTTCCTCCAGAGGGTGCTCGGGGCTCCTCCAGAGGGTGCTCGGGGCTCCTCCAGAGGGTGCTCGGGGCTCCTCCAGAGGGTGCTCGGGGCTGCTCCAGAGGGTGCTCGGGGCTGCTCCAGAGGGTGCTCGGGGCTGCTCCAGAGGGTGCTCGGGGCTGCTCCAGAGGGTGCTCGGGGCTGCTCCAGAGGGTGCTCGGGGCTGCTCCAGAGGGTGCTCGGGGCTCCTCCAGAGGGTGCTCGGGGCTCCTCCAGAGGGTGCTCGGGGCTCCTCCAGAGGGTGCTCGGGGCTCCTCCAGAGGGTGCTCGGGGCTCCTCCAGAGGGTGCTCAGGGTTCCTCAAGCTGTGGCTGATTGACCTCTCAATTGGTGGCATGTAATGTGTTCCTTGAAGCATGTTCCCAGTCTGCAACACGTCCTATAGCATATCTGCAGCCTCTGACCCTCTCCTGTACCACGTCTGCAGCCTCTGACCCTCTCCTGTACCACGTCTGCAGCCTCTGACCCTCTCCTGTACCACGTCTGCAGCCTCTGACCCTCTCCTGTACCACGTCTGCAGCCTCTGACCCTCTCCTGTACCACGTCTGCAGCCTCTGACCCTCTCCTGTACCACGTCTGCAGCCTCTGACCCTCTCCTGTACCACGTCTGCAGCCTCTGACCCTCTCCTGTACCACGTCTGCAGCCTCTGACCCTCTCCTGTACCACGTCTGCAGCCTCTGACCCTCTCCTGTACCACGTCTGCAGCCTCTGACCCTCTCCTGTACCACGTCTGCAGCCTCTGACCCTCTCCTGTACCACGTCTGCAGCCTCTGACCCTCTCCTGTACCACGTCTGCAGCCTCTGACCCTCTCCTGTACCACGTCTGCAGCCTCTGACCCTCTCCTGTACCACGTCTGCAGCCTCTGACCCTCTCCTGTACCACGTCTGCAGCCTCTGACCCTCTCCTGTACCACGTCTGCAGCCTCTGACCCTCTCCTGTACCACGTCTGCAGCCTCTGACCCTCTCCTGTACCACGTCTGCAGCCTCTGACCCTCTCCTGTACCACGTCTGCAGCCTCTGACCCTCTCCTGTACCACGTCTGCAGCCTCTGACCCTCTCCTGTACCACGTCTGCAGCCTCTGACCCTCTCCTGTACCACGTCTGCAGCCTCTGACCCCCTCCTGTACCACGTCTGCAGTCTCTGACCCTCTCCTGTACCACATCTGCAGTCTCTGACCCTCTCCTGTACCACGTCTGCAGTCTCTGACCGTCTCCTGTACCACGTCTGCAGTCTCTAAACGTCTCCTGTACCACGTCTGCAGTCTCTGACCCCCTCCTGTACCACGTCTGCAGTCTCTGACCCTCTCCTGTACCACGTCTGCAGTCTCTGACCGTCTCCTGTACCACGTCTGCAGTCTCTGAACGTCTCCTGTACCACGTCTGCAGTCTCTGACCCCCTCCTGTACCACGTCTGCAGTCTCTGACTGTCTCTTGTAGCATGGCCATAGTCTTTGCTGATGTGTATCCACTGTTTCAAAGACTGAATATTCACAAAATGTCATGTGTGGCCCCTTTGGAGATGCCGGGGGCCGCACATGAAGCCTTCCATATCTAGAAAGTCGGCCACCACTGCTATAAAGTATTACCATTCCTGGAGTTCTTCTATAAAGCTTTCACCGTCCCCCCTATCCCCCCCCCCCCCCCACATACATTCCAATCAGCGCCATTACTGGCTGCCTCACTGGCCAACAGGAATGTGTGGACCCAGAGAGGGCCGGGGAGGGCCGGGGAGGGCCAGCAAGGGCCAGTAAGCTTCAATACACTTTATACCTTTTAGCAGATTTAACCCATCGAACACCTTTGGGACGAATCTAAATGCCGACTACTAGAACTTCCTGTCCAGCATCAGTACCTGACCTCACAAACACCCTGCAAAATCTTGTGGAAAGTCCTCCCAGAAGAGTGGACCACAGATGGGGGTGGGGGAGGCACAGCTCCCAGTAGTCATGATCAGGAGGGCCCTGATCCTGGGAGCTTACAATCTAAGAGGGAGGGGCTAGTGATATTAGCTGAAGGCGGGATAGGCTTCCCTGAAGAGACATGTTCACCTAAAAGTGGGCAGAATAGGCAATAGTTGGATAGATTGGGGTAGAGAGTTCCAGAGGATGGGGGAGGCTCTGGAGAAGGAAAGAAATGGTGGCGATTTGGCGAATCCTCCGGCCTGAGTCTCCTCACAAGGCGTTGCTGCAGCGAATACAAAGGAGAGAGGTGACCCCCGGGAGGAGGAGGAGGGGGCGAGCCTCCCAGTAATGTTAGTTACCACGGACCCTCTGCTGGGGGCCACATGGCCCAATCAGAGAATATATTTAGCCGTCCAATGACTCGCATTTACCCACCGCAGTCCGTATGGGAAATATCAAATCAGATCATTCCTTTCCTGAGAATTCCCCACATGACCCCCCTATCCCAACCACATGGTGGAATCCCCTCACAGGGTGACCCTTCCATTGCAGCCTACAGCAAGCCTGTCCTTCTCATAACGGCTAAAACCACTCTGATTGGCCGGCAACACTACAGACTTTGTAGATGACTTCCCAGAACCCTCTCCTGGTAATTGGCTCATCAGCTCTTTCGGAAATCTGCAGAGTAAAGGCCGGCAGACAGTTCAATGGCTTCATGGTTACAACGCCTTACAGCACTGGGGTTGGAATGCCGGCCAGGAGGCCGTCTGCATGGAGTTTGCATGTCCTCCCTGTGGTTTCATGGGCACGGGTTAATTGGCTCCAGTCTAATTGCCCATTGTATGTGTATGACATATGGACCTTCGATTGTCAGCTCCTGGGGGACAGGGACTGGTCGCAGAGTATATGAAGTGCTGTGTACAGTGCTGATGGTATATAAACGTCTGTAATAAATAAAAGGAAGTCCTGAGATTTACAGCCCAAGGCGTTGCATCCTTACATGTGACATTATTGCTGCCTCCCGCTATTGGTTGTTAGGATGCTGGCGGCCATGCCACACAGGGTTGTTGCTTGCAAGGATGCTGGTGGTGGGGCCGCACAGTGTCACTGGTTACTAGGATGCCAGCAGTGGGGCTGCACAGTGTCACTGGTTACTAGGATGCCAGCAGTGGGGCCGCACAGTGTCACTGGTTACTAGGATGCCAGCAGTGGGGCCGCACAGTGTCACTGGTTACTAGGATGCCAGCAGTGGGGCTGCACAGTGTCACTGGTTACTAGGATGCCAGCAGTGGGGCTGCACAGTGTCAGTGGTTGCTAAGATGCTGGCAGCGGGGCCGCAGAGTGTCATTGGTTGCTAAGATGCCGGCAGTGGGGCTGCACAGTGTCACTGGTTGCTAAGACGCCAGCAGCGGGGTTGCACAGTGTCATTGGTTGCTAAGATGCCAGTAGTAGGGCGGCACAGTGTCACTGGTTGCTATGCTGTAGGAGGCCACCTGAACATCCAATGACTGCACAGCCCTGAGGCTGAACAAGCACTGAGGAATAAATGTCTGCCATGGACACTCTGGCCTCAGTGATGCCCCCATCTGGCCCCCATCAGTGCTGCTTGGGGTGGGCACCTCAGTGAGCCTCATAAGCAGCACGTCTTCTATAACCCCGCCCCCCCCCTTAGGGGTGAGTGCAGAATGAGTGTCCCTGCGGCCCGAACAAATGTACAGATCAGAGAGCGAATTACAAATCAGGACAACCTTCTCCTGAGCAAGAAATGCTGAAAAAAAAAAAAAAAAAGAAAACCGTAGATTGCTGCGACGGTGCATTGCCTGCAGGACGACGCATGTCACCCCTTCTTACTGCTGGGAAATAGTTTTTCTACAGCTCTGAAATTGGGGGGGGAATAGAGAATCCCTGGGAAGATTGCGGGCAGATGGGACTCCATGGCGGGATCTGAACCCGGAACTTCACTGTGCCGTCCTCCTCACCACCGGAACACACGGCTCCTGTGAGATATGTCCTTCTGGATCCTTCCCATAGGAAGAGCTTGGCGTTGTCAGATGTTCCGCAGTTCCTGGAACCTCAAATATCTGAGAAATGTTATTCTTCCTAAATCCAGATCCTGCAGACGTTGTCACACACAGCGCCGTGCAGCCGCAGCATCCCAGCCAACCCTTTACCTAAACGTTCCATATGGATACCGCAGAGACGGGCCGCAACATCTGTTGGGTTTTTACGGGTGTCTCCGGGGGAGAGATTTCCCCCTCATTTCCTGTCTCGACAGGAAACATCAGGAAGTATGCCCCCAGTGGCCCTGCCAGACTCATCATTCTAGAGGGGCGAAGGAGCGTTTACATTTACAGCGGAACGTCGCTCTTGGAATCAGCGCTGGCTATTGTAACCCTCACGCTGCAAGGACTGGTACATAGACAGGGAGGGAGACAGTTGCTTGGTTTACAGGTTTTTTTTTACAATTCTTCTGTGTCTTCCTGGTTTCTTGCCTAGGCAAATGATGTCATACATCAAAGGACAGTAAAATGGATGGGAAACCGGACGAAAAGACGGATGAAAACGGACAGGAAATGGATGTAGATGGATGAAAAACGGACAGAAAAAACAGATGGAAAAACGGATGTAGACCGATGTAAACAGACGGGAAAACAGATGTAACTGGACAGGAAACGGATGTAGATGGATGAAAATTGATGTAACTGGATGGGAAGCAGACGAAAAGACGGACGGGAAACGGATGTGGACGGATCAAAAATGGATGGAAATGGATCAAAAACAGACAGAAAAACAGGCGTAGACGGATGTAAACGGACAGGAAACCAGATGTAGACGGACCAAAAACTGATGTAAACAGGTGAAAAAACGGGTGAAAAGCCATCTGTTTTTCTTAGAAAACGTGAGTGAACTGAAGAAAACCAACCCGCCCGCGGCTGCGAAGGGCCGTTACTCAGCATAATATCATCTTTTATGTTTTACCAAAAAAAAAAAAAGTCCGATAATATTTTGTGCGTTTTGCACCAACATTCATGGGGTCACATTCTTTCTTGAGTGATAAATAGCTGCACAAATATCGCACGACATAACAATTTGCCCCGCCACCCTCCTACTCTACAGGGCCTCCGCTTTCAGAAACGATAGAATGTTCCGGGGGCTTCTGAGTAACTTTCTGCCCCAAAATGCAAAAAACCCCCCAAACCTGCTGTCCAGCCGATTGCACAGACGGAGGAACCGATGAACTTACCGAGCCCGGCGTAGGTCCTGCGTTTGGTCACGCTGGCCGATTTGACGAGGAACATGCAGGACTGATGGGTCATCCAACAGCACAACATGAGGAGCAGAGTGCCCAGCGCAACGCCGCACTGCAAGACAAACAGCAAAATCATTCCAAGATGGCGGCTCATCGGATGGCGAGACGGGAGGAAATCAGAGCGCAGCTACTGGATGTCACACACACTCCCGGCCTGGCTGTCAGATGTTAATGAGCAGCCAGCCTATCTCTCCCAGGGTGGAGGGCACCGGTCAGGGGGCGGAGAGCGCCCGTCAGGGGGCGGAGGGTGCCCGTCAGAGGAGAGGGCGCCCGTCAGAGGAGAGGGCGCCCGTCAGGGGAGAGGGCGCCCGTCAGGGGAGAGGGCGCCCGTCAGGGGAGAGGGCGCCCGTCAGGGGAGAGGGCGCCCCGTCAGGGGAGAGGGCGCCCGTCAGGGGAGAGGGTACTGGTCAGGGGGCGGAGAGCAATGGTCAGGGGGGCACCGGTCAGGGAGCGGAGGGCACCGGTCAGGGGGGCGGAGGGCACCAGTCAGAGGAGAGGGCGCCCGTCAGAGGGCGGAGGGCACCCGTCAGAGGAGAGGGCGCCAGTCAGGGGGCGGAGGGCACCGGTCGGGGGGCGGAGGGCAGGGGGCGGGGGGCGGAGGGCAGGGGGCGGGGGGCGCGCCCGTCAGGGGGCGGAGGGCGCCCGTCAGGGGGCGGAGGGCGCCCGTCAGAGGAGAGGGTACTGGTCAGGGGGGCGGAGGGCACCGGTCAGAGGAGAGGGCGCCCGTCAGAGGAGAGGGCGCCCGTCAGAGGAGAGGGCGCCCGTCAGAGGAGAGGGCGCCCGTCAGAGGAGAGGGCGCCCGTCAGAGGAGAGGGCGCCCGTCAGAGGAGAGGGCGCCCGTCAGAGGAGAGGGCGCCCGTCAGAGGAGAGGGCGCCCGTCAGAGGAGAGGGCGCCCGTCAGAGGAGAGGGCGCCCGTCAGAGGAGGGGGAACCGGTCAGGGGGCGGAGGGCACCGGGCGGAGGGCACCGGTCAGGGGGCGCCAGTCAGGGGGCGCCAGTCAGGGGGCGCCCGTCAGGGGGCGCCCGTCAGGGGGCGCCCGTCAGGGGGCGCCCGTCAGGGGGCGCCCGTCAGGGGGCGCCCGTCAGGGGGCGCCCGTCAGGGGGCGCCCGTCAGGGGGCGCCCGTCAGGGGGCGCCCGTCAGGGGGCGCCCGTCAGGGGGCGCCCGTCAGGGGGCGCCCGTCAGGGGGCGCCCGTCAGGGGGCGCCCGTCAGGGGGCGCCCGTCAGGGGGCGCCCGTCGGGGGGCGGAGGGCGCCCGTCGGGGGGCGGAGGGCGCCCGTCGGGGGGCGGAGGGCGCCCGTCGGGGGGCGGAGGGCGCCCGTCGGGGGGCGGAGGGCAGGGGGCGGGGGGCGGAGGGGGCAGGGGGCGGGGGGCGGAGGGCAGGGGGGGCGGGGGGCGGAGGGCGCCCGTCAGGGGGCGGAGGGTGCCCGTCAGAGGAGAGGGTATTGGTCAGGGGGCGGAGGGCAATGGTCAGGGGGGCACCGGTCAGGGAGCGGACGGCACCGGTCAGGGGGGCGGAGGGCACCCGTCAGAGGGTGGAGGGCACCAGTCAGGGGGAACCGGTCAGGGGGCGGAGGGCGCCAGTCAGGGGGCGGAGGGCACCAGTCAGGGGGCGGAGGGCACCAGTCAGGGGGCGGAGGGCACCAGTCAGGGGGCGGAGGGCACCAGTCAGGGGGCGGAGGGCACCAGTCAGGGGGCGGAGGGCACCAGTCAGGGGGCGGAGGGCACCAGTCAGGGGGCGGAGGGCACCAGTCAGGGGGCGGAGGGCACCAGTCAGGGGGCGGAGGGCACAGGTCGGATACAGGTCGTGATCACTGATTGGCTGCAATGTCCCCTCCCCCGATAATCTCTGACCACCCGCACGCTCACCTCTTTGAAGCAGAACGGCATAGTCAGCACGCTGACCCCAACAATGCTGTTCACCACGTTCATGATCAGCCCCCAGTGAGAAGCCGCCATTTTTCTTGTGTCTGGAGGTATAAATAAACCGGATTGTACCAAAAAAAAAATATATTAAATTGTACAAAAATAAAACCTCCAGCGAACGTTACAAATATAAAAACATTTCATCAGGAAAGAGTTCCCTCCACAGAGCCGTAGCCGGGGAAGAGCGATTCAGCAGAACAGAAGTTCCTGCGGGCACAGAAATGGGTTGTCAGTCTCTGAGGACATGTGACCCGTACCATGGAGACGGGCGCAATCCCAGGCGCCGCGGTAACCCGGTCCGGACTAAGACACGGGATCGGATATGGCGGTCGGGGATCTTGGGGTGCGGTGGTGGGGGAGGGGTGCAAAGTTGGGTAATTTGTCCAATAAAAAGGATGTAACTTGTAACTCCGAGGGAGGCAGCGATCGTAACTTTTCATTGGCCCTCTAACCGACAATCGGGCGGCTTCATCCAATCAGGTGTCTAGTTCAGCTCCCAGTGTCCTCAGTCCGGGTCACCTTCCTCTGATCCGGGAGGTGGAGGCGGTCCCACAGATGAGAAGAGTCCTGATTGGTCCTTTCCGGGGATCTGGAAGTGGAGAGGAAATGGTGAAGAATATTATTGGGGCCACAGCAGAGGAGAAAGCCAAGAGCAGGCAGCATGGGGGAGGGGCTAAGTGGGGGGGAGGGGCTGGGGGTAAAATGAGGTCACCAACTACCCACAAATAACATGGGAACAGATGGGGGAGCGGGTGGGGAGTACTAGTGAGGGGGGGAGAGAAGGTACTAGTGAGGGGGGGGAGAGAAGGTACTAGTGAGGGGGGGAGAGAAAGGTACTAGTGAGGGGGGGAGAGAAGGTACTAGTGAGGGGGGGAGAGAAGGTACTAGTGAGGGGGGGAGAGAAGGTACTAGTGAGGGGGGGAGAGAAGGTACTAGTGAGGGGGAGGGAGAAGGTACTAGTGAGGGGGAGGGAGAAGGTACTAGTGAGGGGGGGGGAGAGAAGGTACTAGTGAGGGGGGGAGAGAAGGTACTAGTGAGGGGGGGGAGAGAAGGTACTAGTGAGGGGTGGAGAGTACTAGTGAGGGGGGGAAGAGAAGGTACTAGTGAGGGGTGGAGAGTACTAGTGAGGGGGGGAAGAGAAGGTACTAGTGAGGGGGGGAAGAGAAAGTACTAGTGAGGGGGGGAAGAGAAGGTACTAGTGAGGGGGGGAAGAGAAAGGTACTAGTGAGGGGGGGAAGAGAAGGTACTAGTGAGGGGGGGAAGAGAAGGTACTAGTGAGGGGGGGAAGAGAAGGTACTAGTGAGGGGGGGAAGAGAAGGAGAAAGGTACTAGTGAGGGGGGGGAAGAGAAGGTACTAGTGAGGGGGGGGGAAGAGAAGGTACTAGTGAGGGGGGGAGAGAAGGTACTAGTGAGGGGGAGAGAGAAGGTACTAGTGAGGGGGAGAGAAGGTACTAGTGAGGGGGAGAGAACTAGTCAGGGAAGAGGATACTAGTCAGGGAAGAGGATACTAGTCAGGGAAGAGGATACTAGTCAGGGGGGGTGGAGGGTACCAGTCAGGGCGGTGGAGGGTACTAGCCAGAGAAGAGGGTACTAGTCAGGGGGGGTGGAGGATACCAGTCGGGGGGGGTGGAGGATACCAGTCGGGGGGGTGGAGGATACCAGTCGGGGGGGGTGGAGGATACCAGTCGGGGGGGGAGGAGGGTACTAGTCGGGGGGGTGGAGGGTACTAGTCGGGGGGGGTGGAGGGTACTAGTCGGGGGGGGGTGGAGGGTACTAGTCGGGGGAGAGGGTACCAGTCAGGGGGTGGAGGGTACCAGTCCGGGGGGGGGGGGGGGTGGAGGGTACCAGTCCGGGGGGGGGGGGGGGGGTGGAGGGTACCAGTCGGGGGGGGGGGGGTGGAGGGTACCAGTCGGGGGGGGGGGGGGGGGTGGAGGGTACCAGTCGGGGGGGGGGGGTGGAGGGTACCAGTCGGGGGAGAGGGTACCAGTCAGGGAAGAGGGTACCAGTCAGGGGGGGTGGAGGGTACTAGTCAGGGGGGGTGGAGGGTACCAGTCGGGGGGGGTGGAGGGTACCAGTCGGGGGGGGTGGAGGGTACCAGTCGGGGGGGGGGGGGGGATGGAGGGTACCAGTCGGGAGGGGGGGTGGAGGGTACCAGTCGGGGGGGGGTGGAGGGTACCAGTCGGGGGGGGGGGGTGGGGGGTACCAGTGGGGGGGGGTGGAGGGAACCAGTCGGGGGGGGGGGGGGTGGAGGGAACCAGTCGGGGGGGGGGGGGGTGGGTGGGTTACCAGTCGGGGGGAGAGGGGTACCAGTCAGGGAAGAGGGTACCAGTCAGGGGGGGTGGAGGGTACTAGTCAGGGGGGGTGGAGGGTACCAGTCGGGGGGGGTGGAGGGTACCAGTCGGGGGGGGTGGAGGGTACCAGTCGGGGGGGGGGTGGAGGGTACCAGTCGGGAGGGGGGGTGGAGGGTACCAGTCGGGAGGGGGGGTGGGAGGGTACCAGTCGGGGGGGGGTGGAGGGTACCAGTCGGGGGGGGGGGGTGGGTGGAGGGAACCAGTCGGGGGGGGGGGTGGAGGGAACCAGTCGGGGGGGGTGGAGGGGTACTAGTCGGGGGGGGTGGAGGGTACTAGTCAGGGGGGGTGGAGGGTACTAGTCAGGGGGGGTGGAGGGTACCAGTCGAGGGGGGTGGAGGGTACTAGTCGGGGGGGGTGGAGGGTACCAGTCGGGGGGGGGTGGAGGGTACCAGTCGGGGGGGGGGTGGAGGGAACCAGTCGGGGGGGGGGGGGGGGTGGAGGGAACCAGTCGGGGGGGGGGGGGGGTGGAGGATACTAGTCGGGGGGGTGGAGGGTACTAGTCGGGGGGGGTGGAGGGTACCAGTCGAGGGGGGTGGAGGGTACTAGTCAGGGGGGGTGGAGGGTACTAGTCGGAAGGTCCAGGTACCGGCGGGGTCAGCACTCGGGGTCCCCGGTCAGGGGGTAACGGATCTCTCCATGCTCCGGGCTGTCAGTCTCATCTCCCGACATGCCCCGGGCGGGTGACGTGTCTCTGGTAAACACAGACGTGACGTGGCGGAGGCCGGGCTGTGTCCGCTCTCTCTCTCTCCTCACTCTCGGAGGATTCTTCTTCTCACTTCCAGACTTCTCCGCCCCGGCCTCCGCTCACCCCCCGCCCCCTATTCCCGGCGGTACCGACCGATCGTTTCTCTCCACTTCCGGGTTCTCTCCGCCTCACTCCGTATCCAGGAAGTCAGGGACACCAGCGAGACGAGAGGAGGGGACAGCGCGGCCACTGGAGGGGAGGGGGAGAGAGTGCGGCACAGCGACACCGCCTGGCCGGATGACCAACTAACACCGCTAGTGGGGAACCACAGGACTCATCCGCCACCCATAGTATATTGTGTGATATTACCACCCCCCATAGTATATTGTGTGATATTACCACCCCCCATAGTATATTGTGTGATATTACCACCCCCATAGTATATTGTGTGATATTACCACCCCCATAGTATATTGTGTGATATTACCACCCCCCATAGTATATTGTGTGATATTACCACCCCTCATAGTATATTGTGTGATATTACCACCCCCATAGTATATTGTGTGATATTACCACCCCCCATAGTATATTGTGTGATATTACCACCCCCATAGTATATTGTGTATTACCCCCCCATAGTATATTGTGTGATATTACCCCCCCCCCCCCCCCCCATAGTACATTGTGTGATATTATCACCATCTTTATTCATATTATTATTATTTCTATACACATTATAATGTTACTTTTTATTATATTTATGTTTTCACATTCAATGTAATTATCAAAAAGCAGAACTTCGGGAGAATAAATCCATCGGTCATGTGACTTCTTCCGGACTCTTCTCCCAGAACTGAGCCGTCATCCAGTGTGAGACTTCCTGGAATACCGCTCACTGCTGCCCCCTCTGCTTGTGCAGGGGGACTGGTCTTGTCTCCGCCCCCTCCTGTAGTTTTCTGCGGTGGGTGGGACCTGCTGAATTTACAAGGTAATATCTGGGTTTTTAAAGGCATTTGGTGCACATAAAGTGAATGTATATCCTTTTAGACTAGTGGGGAATATACACTATATTGCCCCAAGTATTGGGCCCCGCCCCTTCCACATACATGACCTTTAATGGCCCCCCAGTCTTAGTCCGTAGGGTTCAATATTGAGTTGGCCCCGCCCTTTCCACACACATGACCTTTAATGGCCCCCCAGTCTTAGTCTGTAGGGTTCAATATTGAGTTGGCCCCGCCCTTTGCAGCTATAACAGCTTCAACTCTTCTGGGAAGGCCATCCACAAGGTTTAGGAGGGTGTCTATGGGAAGGTTGGACCATTCTTCCAGAAGCACATTTGTCAGGTCAGGCACTGATGTCGGGGGAGGAGGCCTGGCTCGCAGTCTCCACTCTAATTCATCCCAAAGGTGTTCTATGGGGTTGAGGTCAGGACTCTGTGCAGGACAGTCAAGTTCCTCCGCCCCAAACTGGCTTCTCCATGTCTTTATGGACCTTGCTTTGTGCACTGGGGGGGCAGTCATGTTGGAACAGGAAGGGGCCACCCCCAAACTCCTCCCACAAAGTTGGGAGCATGAAATTGTCCAAAATGTCGCCTTAAGAGTTCCCTTCACTCGAACTAGGGGGCCAAGCCCAACCCCTGAAAACCACCCCCACCATAATCCCCCCTCCACCAAACTTTACACTTGGCACAATGCAGTCAGGCAAGTACCGTTCTCCTGGCCACCGCCAAACCCAGACATGTCCATCGGATTGCCAGACAGAGAAGCGTGATTGGTCACTCCAGAGAACACGTCTCCCCTGCTCTAGAGTCCAGTGGCAGCGTGCTTTACACCGTGGCATCCGACGCTTTGCATTGCGCTTGGTGATGGAAGGCTTGGATGCAGCTGCTCGGCCATGGAAACCCATTCCATTTCAAAGTTGGCAATGGTTTAAAAATTCTGAATTTCGGGGTTCGTCCTTTCTGATGACTGTTGAGTTTTCATACTCCAGTCTAA